TACTACCCCCAAGCAGTCAGCCAGGTCTACTCTTCTGTTGTAAGAGGGAGACTACATGGGATGACGGAAAGGGGACTCTGCCGAGATATCTGTTATATTGTGCTACCCCAACCAGGGAACGGACCTTGCTTCACAATGTCACCTACACTGCCCAACACTCTGTAGTTGGTATTTCCCTATTATTCCTCCTTTCATCACTTTGTACTCTTTGAATGTTAATCCTAAGGGAGGCTATGATTAATCAAACCTAATGACCCTGGGTTTTCATAGGGGTTCCCCAGTGGCTAGGTAAACTTTCATCATTAGTAGCAAGCTGGGGAACACCTATAAGAAGGGTACAGAGATGAACTTTTTCCCTATCTTTACAGCAAACAATTTTTTTAAAAGATTTTATTTATTTATTTGAGAGAGAAAGCATGAGTAGGTAGGAGGGGCAGAGGGAGAGGGAGAAGCAGACTCCCCGCTGAGCAGGGAGCCCGATAAAGGGCTTGATCCCAGGACCCTGAGATCATGACCTGAGCTGAAAGCAGACACTTAACCGCCGGAGCCACCCAGGGGCCCGCTTTTTCCTGATCTTTAATCCTACCTCTCCCAATGCAGAAATCCCTTTAATCATCATAGTTATAAGCAAAGCTGTAGACTTCCTTCCCTTCAGCCCACCTGAAAAGAGGGCAGAGGACAATTCTTCTCTCCTAGGCCTCACTCATATCTCTACCACCCCAAGGATTTCTGCACTTAGAAAAGAAAGGACAGTTTTCATTAGTCGATCACCCTTCTCAAAACCATCTTTCTCATTTCTTGGAGGCAATCTCTCAAATAAACAATAGGAAAGGTCATACATAATATGGTAAGAGACAATGGATAATTATTAATATGTTACTCTGTTAAAACCAAGAACTGTAGTTTGATATCTTTAAGAAGCCAAAAAACATTAGTCTAATTTTTTATTTAAATAAGGGTGCTGTGACCTGATCAACACTACTAAACACATTCCTCAGGTGCTGTGAAGAAAGCTCAATTCAACTTTTCCTCTACATTACTTGACATTTTTATCATGGGGGAGGAGGTAGAGACCTTTTAGTATTTCCTACAAACATCTTCAAGGCTGACTTGGTTTTACTGAGTGTAAGTATAAATGTGATTGAAAAACTGTTAAAGTTCTTTACTAGAGGTACCTGGGTGGCTCACTCGGTTAAGTGGCTGCCTTCAGCTCAGGTCATGATCTCCAGATCCTGGGATCGAGACCCACATCGGGCTCCCTCCTCAGCAGGGAGTCTGCTTCTCTCTCTCTTTCTCCCTCTGCTCCTCCCCCCTGCTCCTTCTCTCTCTCTCAAATAAATAAAATCTTTGAAAAAATAAAGTTCTGGGGCGCCTGGGTGGCTCAGTCATTAACCGGCTGCCTTCAAGCTCAGGTCATGGTTCCAGGGTCCTGGGATCGAGCCCCGCATCGGGCTCCCTGCTCAGCGGGAAGCCTGCTTCTCCCTCTCCCGCTCCCCCTGCTTGTGTTCCCTCTCTCGCTGTCTCTCTCTCTGTCAAATAAATAAATAAAATCTTTAAAAAAAAAAAAAGTTCTTTACTAAAACATAAGTCTTATTACTTTCTGAACTTCCTATTCTGTCATTTCTCCCACTAAGAGTTTTTTCCCCTTGATTCAACAGTTGAATAAAGGGATTTCTCATTGCATATATTTTTTTTTTTTAGATTTTATTTGAGAGAGAGAGAGAGTGGGAGAGGGAGAGAGAATCTGTAGCACACTCCACGCTGAGCTCAGAGCCAGATGTAGGGCTCGATCCCACGACCATGAGATCATGACCTGAGTTGAAACCAAGAATTGGACACTTAACCAACTGAACCACCCAGGCGCCCCTCATTGCATACATTTCTAAGATGAAATATTGCTGTGAACATATTTCATCAAGTTCATTTTAAATACATCATGAAGTACTTTACTTTTCATGAATGTGATATCCTATTATATTTTCTTTACATGATTTAGATACACAATTTTGGAAGCCAACATAACTTAGGATTATTTTCCTTTCTCCTTCAGGTGATTTTTTATAATGACAAAATGTTTATCTTTCAATAATCACTACTTATCTATGGCAAATACAAAATTTTGACAACTTGCATTTGAAAGTTTTTGACATTTAGCTACAGTCTAGCTAGAAGGAAGTAAATATTGTAGGAATATAAGGTTTAATTTATTACCCAGGCCAAGCAGTAGCACACCACTACCGCTGCCAGTCAAAACTAACTAACTAAATAAATAACATCTGAGCAGTTTCTCGCCTCAGGAACTTTATCTGACCTTTGCAGCCACTCCATGAAGTGGGTGCTTTATTTCAATGATGAGGAAACTAAGGCTTTGAAGAGGCTGATTTATCTAAATCAACAGTCAACTACAGGCAGAGCCAGGATCGAAACCCAGGTTTGAATGACTGCAAAGTCAGGGTGAGTTGAAATTTAATCTCCTACTAAGAGAATATAAAAATGCCTGGAAAATGTTAATAAAAATAATAATCTTTGCTATCTCTAGGTAGTAAGTCTCAGATTGTTTTTTCACTTTCCTTTTTGTTTTTGTAACATACTATTTGAAATTCCCACACTGTGTAAGAAAGTTTTTTTTTTTCCCTAAAGAAAATCAAGCTCCAGGAAAAAAAACAAAACAAGCATACAAAAAACCTATGCTTCTGTAACTTGAGTTTTGAAACACTCAAAAAAGTGTTCCCATGGTCAAGTGGGAGAAGAAGATATTAAAGGTAGGAGGAAAAACAGGATGGAGTAGAAGGAAGTGTTTTTGGACAGACTCATAGGGAAGCCACATGGTACGTCCCCTAGCCTACCACCTTTCTCTTAAGCTCTATTCACCTAGATGTCTACATCTTTTGACCCAGAGATCTTCTCTATGAATTTACCTTAAGGAAAAGCTATGTGCAAGAACTCATCCATGGCAGCATCACCTATTGTGGGGAAAAATCTAGAAACAATCTAACAGTCCAAAGCTAAGGCCTATTAATAAATTATAAAGATCAGATAAAAACAAGGATGTTTATTATATAAAATATACAAAAATAAGGATACACTATCACGTTTATTTTTTTGTTACATTTTTGTTATATTTTCTCCACTTTTAAAGTCAAAAATTACTTAAAATATTTCCTTTAAAATGCCAGCATAATTATGTTATTAGAAGTAATAAGGATCAAATACATGGTGCCATAAGCCAGATCTAAAAGTCTCCCAGCTGGAAAAGGGAAGCAGGAAGCTCCAACACTCTACCCAGAGGACAATGACATGGTGATGTAATTGACCATGGGAAGTAGTCCATTCATAGGAAATCAAGGTGGGTGGTATGATGAACAGAGAAGTTGCAAGCATATTAAGGCTGTAAAAAAGTACATATTATGCACCTTCCAACTTATTAGGACATATTATAAGTACAATGCAAAAGACTTTTACAGATGAAACCTCACATTTACAAGTGTGGCAGAGAAATATATGCAGAGGTAGTTGGACATGCATTAAAAAAGGGGTTACTAAAAATGGAATAAGGTATTTACCCCATAGTGAAGTACCCTCTTTACACTTTGCCACAAAATTCTGGAAATTCACAAAATTCTGGAAAATTATTTACAGACTATAATGTAAGATCCTTTCATAATCTTTTATTGCTAGAAGAAAAGAATACAGACTAAGATAAAACAGGTATGCATAAAGAACAAGGGCTGAATATTTTAGAATAATTAGGAGAGGCTTATAGCTGTTTGTGGTAGAAAAGGAAGACAAATGCAGCCTTAGAAATACTAAAAACACGAAACAGTCTGTGAATATCGTTTTTTTTTTTTAACACCATTCTCACTTCTAAGTGAAATATACTCTAAATTACCATATACCTAATCTTACAACTGACGTGGTAAAGGTGACTAAATATAACAATGAATAAATGAGAGATTTTTTTTTCTACTTCTGACAGTCTTAAAATACAGCTTTTTTCAAATCCTTTATTTTCTTCATAGCTAGTTAACTACTTTCTTTTCCCTGGAAAATTGAGGAGAGCAGCAGAAAATCATGAGTGTAACAAGAAAATGACGAAATGGATTTCTGAGGTGGCTTGAGGAAATGACTATCAGGTGTTCATAGTCAGTCACACCCTATATAAAAGCCTGGAGAGAACCAGAGGGGATCAAATTCCTCACAGCTCCAGAGAACATAAGGGTTCAAACGAGATGGGCATCCTTGTGGCCAACTCTTCAGTTTTCAGATATTTAGGCTCTAAACCTAAGTGGATATTTCCACAGGAAATTTCCACTATGGTATTTTAAAATATCACAGGGCCCCTGAAAGTCCTATAACACATAAAAAGAACTATCTGTAATTAGGAATGTAACATCAACCACTAACCTGAATTTACATGGGCTCTAAAAATAGGAAGTCCTAATACTGCTGACCTTGGGACTTTCTGCCTTATATTTAACCCAAAACATTTACACACTTTAAGACATTTTCTTTCTGTTTTAGCCTTAGAGAATGCGAAGAATCACTGGCTGCTCTTAAGTCTGTGGAGTGATACTTCCTATACAAGGAAAGTAATTATATTTTAATAAAATGGAACTCTTTTCTATGAAGTTTTCTGAAGTAGTCTTTGGAGACTAGTTTACTAAATCTAACATTTCCTTGCAGTATACTTTGACTTAAATGAATCATCCAGGTTCAGCTAAGGATTCCAAATGCACCAAGCCCAGAAAACTTGACTTCTGGTCTCATGCTACCCAACACATGCTTCTGCCAGACATTATGATTAAAGCAATCAACCTTGATTATTGTAGGTAGCTGAACCCAGGTTAAAAAAAAAAATCAACTTTAAATACATTCCACAATGCTTTACAGAAGCAAACAAAAACAAACGGAAAAAAAAAATGAAAAAAAATCACAATTATTAAAAAGCTGATTTTTGTTTAAAACACCAAGCAAGGAATGGACATATGAATATTCCTAACCTGCAAAATGATTCCTCCACATTATATCAGCGAAACTCATTGGTGGGCCACTGGGAGGGTAGTGTTTACCTTTCAGAGGCTCATGATCAGTCCTTATCATATCCATTAAGGAGTTCTCCAACGAATGCAAGTTAAAAGTGTCATAGGGCCTACTCCGGTCCTAAAAATAAAAACACAGAACAAGACAATACATAAAATTACTTCATAAAATTAATACTATATAGTTTGTTTCTTGCCATGGATTGATGACATGAACCAAAGTTCCAGATAGTTCTAATAACACACATTCTTTTCATAAGAATGATTGGCTACATTAAGCTTAATACAAGTTTCTATAATTAATTGCATCCTTTTCCCCAATATTCTTTAATGTATATGTCCCACTACTTCAGACTTTCTCTCAAAGAACTTAAGAAAGTAAATTCAAAGGAAAGAGTCAAGTCAACTGACTTTGCCCTGAGCCCTTCACCCCGGCCCTCCACTGTCAAATAAACATTCTATTCAAATGAACAGAGACTTTTTTATCTAGAGGAAGTCCATAATTAAGAACTCTCAAGTCTACGAACAGAATCACTTTCCTGAAAAATCAAAAGGTGACTGTAATTACAATCTAATTTTATTGGGTATCTTTAATATTTAATACAGATAAGTTCCATACATTAGATACACTCTATAAAACTTAAAATGTGTTCAAAGTACTACTAAAAATAACTTTTGAAAAGCACGCACATGAAAAAACTTTAACCCAAGATAGTGTTTTCATGATGCTAGAGTCAAAAACATTTTGAAAATAGAGAGCTAACACAAACTAAGTGAAGAAAAATCATCATTCCACCACATTTCACTTGAGCCCATGGAAGACTATCACGTACAAATTATTTTTACTAGTCTGAGCTAAAGGGAGGCACAACTCATGGCTTAACATTACAGAATAAATCACATTACAGATTTAGTTTGCTTTTGTTTAAGAAAAGCAAACAGGGGTGCCTGGGTGGCTTTGTCGGTTGTATCGGACTCTTGATTTTGGTTCAGGTCGTGATCTCAGGGTCTTGAGATTGAGCTCTGTGTGGGGCTCCGGGCTCAGTGCACAGTCTGCTTGAGATTCACCCTCCCTCTCACCCTCCCATGCCCTCCGCACACTCACATGGGCTCTCTCTCTCTCAAATAAATAAATAAATCTTTAAAAAAGAAAAGCAAGGGGCGCCTGGGTGGCTCAGTTGGTTGAGCGACTGCCTTCGGCTCAGGTCATGATCCCGGAGTCCTGGGATCGAGTCCCATATCGGGCTCCCGGCTCAGCGGGGAGCCTGCTTCTCCCTCTGACCCTCTTCCCTCTCATGCTGTTTCTCTCTCTCTCTCTCTCTCTCAAATAAATAAAATATATTTAAAAAAATTTAAAAAAAATAAAAAATAAATAAAAAAGAAAAGCAAAACACACATTTCAACAACCACACCAAATCAAACTATAGCAATGAGAGATTATTTTCAGGGTCCTGGACAGTCTACCTAGCCCTGCAAATGATCACTTATCATCTCCAAAGAACAACAATAATAAGTAACTGGATAAGCAAAATGGAATATAACAGGTAAAAAGCTCAACTTCAGTGACCATTTTCTAGCTTAAGTCTTAACTCTTGGGAAGCTGTTTTTCTTCTGGTTTCTGGAAAGTATGACTGCATATCTATTCAGGGAGGCAGAAAGGAAAGTGGTATTTCTGCAGCACTGAGCATAAAGGAAGAATCAGAGGGTTATTGAATGAATGAAAGCAGTATGTATACATGCAGATCCTAAGAAGAACTGAGCACCAGGAGGCAAGAGTGCTAGAATAACTACTAACAGTTGGGGACTCTGGGGTACCATCATGATCTACCTCTCCAGTTTGTGCCTGAAATTCTTCCCTTTATACAAACGAGAGGACTGAGCTAGAGTATTTCTAATATGCCTTACAACTCTATACTTTTTTTTTTTTTTTAAGATTTTATTTATTTTTTGACAGAGAGAGAGAGAGAGACAGTGAGAGAGGGAACACAAGCAGGGGGAGTGGGAGAGGGAGAAGCAGGCTTCCCGCTGAGCAGGGAGCCCGATGTGGGGCTCGATCCCAGGACCCTGGGATCATGACCTGAGCCGAAGGCAGACGCTTAACAACTGAGCCACCCAGGCGCCCCTACTTTTTTTTTTTTAACTCAGAGATGAGGAGTAGGGGTGGAGGGTGCAGATGTTTTCAAACGCCAGAGACAGAAATTCCATTTTTACAAACCTTTAATGCACAAGTCAAGGGTCAACTCCTGTACTAGGCCCTAGTGATTCAGAGATGAATGTTGAAACCCAGGCCCTATGTACAAGTAACTAGTAGGAGAGAGACATAACCAATTAAAATAAGAGAATGACAGGTGTTTTGACAGGGAATATGTACAGTACAATGGAAACTAAGACATCTATTTCTTAAAGAACATGTATTATAATTTTTTAAAAATCACATTCTGAAAAGTCCCAGGTCTCCTGAATCTGACCAGGTATGAGGCCTGTCTTAGTTATTCTCAATGGTCTTCAGTATTCTCATTGGTAAAATGGGATCTTACCTGTGAAGATTAGGTTGAAATTAAGTAATTATTTTACTCACATTGTGTTTGCCAAAGAGCAAGCATTCAACATTTCTTAGTTTACTGCCACTGCCCCCCTCACTTGCTACCTCCACCCCATTTTTTTCTTTCCTTTTTTAAAAAGATTTTATTTATTTACTTGAGAGAGAGCATGAGTGGGGGGGAGGAACAGAGTGGTAGGGAGGGGGAAAGAATCCCAAGTAGACTCCACGCTGGGCTGGGAGCCCAAATGGGGCTCGATCTCAGGACCCTGAGATCATGACCTGAGCTGAAATCAAGAGTTGGACACTTAACCGACTGAACCATCCAGGCTCCCCTCCCCATTTTTTAAACACTCATCAATTATCTGTCTACTGTTGGATAAGAAAGAGACTTGGAATATTTTCTTTGGTTCTCCATTTTGGTCTCTATATAATTGAAGAAGGACTTTTCTTTTACCTTTAAGGTCTTCCTGCAGATCATTTGTTTTGTTCTGGGTTCAAGTTATCAGTGGAAACCCCAATTACTTAAGGAGTAAAACTGAATTTCCAGAAATGTAGGCTTATCTGTCTCTATAAGAGGTATCATATATTTTGTCCAGAAGAAAAGCCACAGGTAAAAAAAAAAAAAAAAAAAAAGAAGTGTACGGATGAGGGCGCCTGGGTGGCTCAGATGGTTAAGCGTCTGCCTTCGGCTCAGGTCATGATCCCGGGGTCCTGGGATCGAGTCCCACATCGGGCTCCCTGCTCCTTGGGAGCCTGCTTCTCCCTCTGCTTCTCTCTCTCTCTCTCTCTCTCATGAATAAAAAAAAAAAAAAGAAGTGTACGGATGAGAAGTCAAAATGACAACCTATTTCTGGCACTGACAATCCTGGAATGGATAGGAGCCTTCTAGAGTGTGTGTGTGTGTGTGTGAGTGTCTGTGTGTGTGTCTCCACTAGGAGCCTTCTAGTGTGTGTGTGTGTGTGTGTGTGTGTGTGTCTCCACTAGGAGCCTTCTTGTGTGTGTGTGTGCACGTCTTCTAGTGTGTGTGTGTGTGTGTGTGTGTATATCTCCACACTTTTAACTAGAGCCCTGCAGGCATGGGACTGTTTCAAAAAAGACTGATAAGGTGAAGGGACTATAAGAAGTGGCTGTTTGAAGGCATTCAAGAATCTTTCCATTCAGGACAGTTTATTTTTTTCATTTAGTTCTTGATATAATCCTTCAAGGTAGATAACAACATACTCATTTCACACATGAGGAAGGTGAGGTTCAGAGAAGTTTCCGGCCTGGATCTAACCCCAAAGCCAATACCTAAGGAGTATAGACACAAGCCTGAAGAAATTGATCTAGTCCATACAGGATAGTTAGTAAATGAAAGCTCTATAGAAGCACAGCATTGCATCTAACTACCAAAAATGACCTTCCTGGCAAGATGGTAGTTGAGTCCCCATCAGAAGATAATATTGGATTATTAGATGACTACCTGTCAGGAAAATTGGAGGGGGTGTTTGGGTGGGGACTCATGCATCTGAAGTGGTACTCAAACCTGTCAGATTGTCAAAATCACATGTAGAATGGTTAAAATCCAAGTTCCTGGGCTCCAGCTAAAACCAACTTAGTCATAATTTTAAAAGAAATAAGTGTCCCAGGCGGCTCTTTTGACTGGCTAGATTTGACAGCCACTAGACTGGATGATTCTCCAAGTTAAGCCTTTACACCTGTACCTGATCGGTAAAATGAGATGGTTAAGTGAGGGAGGGACTAGAAGGATAGCAGCAGAAAGAAACAAGCCTGGCTACTTTGCAAAGGGTCAGCTTTACAGTCTTTTGATTGTGGGGTAGGAAAGCAATTGGTGGTCTGGCACTTATAAGTACATACTCTGAAATCAGCCACCTGATTTTCAAATTCTGGCTCTGCCAGTTGCTGGCATGTCACTCTGAACAAGTTTCTAAACCTTGGTTCATCTATAAAATGATGATAATTTTCCATATGGCTATTTTCAGTACTAAATGACAGAATGTACAACAAGGCATCTGTACAGGGGTGGCTACTGGAATTTTAGGGAGAACACAAAGAAACTTCTATGATGCCACCTTAGAGTACTGGGATATATTTAAAAACCCAGAGGTTCACTAGTGCTCAACAGATGAAAAGATGACAGGTGAAATGCAGGACAAAATTTGCACAGGCTTTTTAACTGAACAAATGTCAATGCAGAGACTTATTTTCTCATTAAAATTTATCTGCCTCACTGATTCATATTTGCAGCGTACTATTCATCCTGTTTGTTTTATAAATAGTAAACATTGCTAAAAATAACTGATTAACCAGGAAGCCTGCAAGAAACAGAAAAAGGACAGAAAAACTACAAAATTTGTAGTGAAATTCAAGCAGAAATCATACATAGAGAAAATTAGACCATAATTTATCATTCAACAACAAAAGTTAGAAGTGGCAACTAACCTCTTCTCTAAGTTTTTTTTTTTAATAAGATTTGGTTCTCAATATAGGGAAAATAAGGAAAACATCTTTTTTTCATTTGTTTTTAACAAGCAAACACACCGAGAAGTATTAGAACATTTATAAATAATGCATCCCAT